GCTTGTTTGTGTTTAGAGCAATATATACTAATTTTTAAACTTCAAATTGAATTTTTGTTCAATCCCCCAAAACTTTGTCTTCAAAATAAGGGTGTGTCTTATATTTCGAAAAATACGGTACCTAAACTTCTATGTTCATGGCTCATATATAAATATATGTGTAGTAACTAAGTTCACATAAATTGGAAAACAAAATGCCATTTAGGAGTATTAAACATAACCGACTGTCCATTATTTAAACACAGCCACTCCTCCATTCATTCACATGTTGAAACCACATTACTACAGGGTATTCATAGATTAACGAAAGTTTCTTCACAGATAAAAATTACCCTATTTTTAATAATTTACAAACCTCTTTAGATCTAAAATTATTCTAAATTTACATAGTTAAAACTCAACTGTTTCATAATATATTCTGTAATTTGTTTTTCCCTTTTTTTTCCTTCCATTTACTCAATATCTAAGTAAACTAGCTATTAATGATACTATAGCATTAATTAATAAAAAAAAACTTTATACCACTATTTTCAGATTTTGCTGGAGATGGAATAAGAATATTCCAAAACATTCAAACCTTGTAAATAAGATGTTTTGTGTTTTGTCAGCCACCTTCATCTTTATTATTAGACATCATTTTCCCCATCATGAATCCATTCTGATTCCCTTTTATAAGTACATCAAAAATAAGATAAACATATCTGACAAAACTTTACTGACATTCCGGATCAGAGTGACTCCAAAACTACAAATAAAAATACTTGGTAAAGAATTTATTAGTCTATAACCAAGAAAGTGAGAAAGAGAAAATATCAACCTACCCCAGTGCCAGTCGTAGTGGAATACCGACTAATAGGCTGTGTTAATCTACCTGGAGGTAAAGTCAGCTGATGACCTACTGCTAGAAATGTAAAACAATACTACATTACAGGTTATCTTCACTGGTATGAAATGCTAGTGCTTAACCTATAAAAGAATTCTAAGTTGGTTTCATACTGCTATTGATATCATATTCTGTAAACAAGATGAAATGGGAGAGAAAGGAGGTCAGTTATTAGAAATAACATTTAGATGTTAATAACTGTTTTAAGCAGTCCGATTCAAGAAAATAAACATTTTGATACCTGTCATATCATACAAGCTCTGCAAAGTGATGTATTTATCATAACTTGATACAGAAAAATGTAAAATATTCAGAATGATAATGCATTAAATGCACATTTCATAAATAATGATTTCCTTGAAATTCCTCATTATTGTTTTTGGAATGGATTAATATAAGAACATAACACATAACCAATCATAAAGTAGGCTTAATACACGCATAATTTTTTTTCAAAAAGTAGTGCATCTTTCAACTTATCCTCTAGTTATGCTTTAAAATAGAAATTTCAACTTACTTGATGAGGAAACTTGGGTATGCATTGTTTGCTGAGGCTGAGCCGAGCGTCTAGTTATTTGATGTCGAAAATTAGAAGCACTGACAGTTTCTGGTTCTTTATGTTCTACAGCTTTGGATTCAATCAGCTTCTTCTCCCATGTCTGTAAACCACATTATTATTCTGATAGTAAAGCTCAATATATTTAGTTATTAGGAATACATTAAACAAGTGCATTTTATTACGGTACAACTTCCAATATCTGTTTGGTATTCAGGTACATTTACATCCAAAAGATAAGTTAAAGCTTCTGCAAAATTCAGATTCAGGATGTTAAGCAAATGATAAATAAAAAACAAAAAGAAGCAAACATCAGTGAACAAATAAAATAAATTTTTACCCACAACAGTGTGTGTATGTTCAACACTAAACTGGCCAGCTTCTTATTTTTCTTTTGTAATTCCACAGATTGCTGGGGTTAGAGAAGGGGTTCCTAAATGTATGCATAGGGCAGAGACTACAAGAATAATGTTATATTTTATCTTCAAATCAGACAAAGGAGTCCTAGTGTGGTGTCCCATAAAACCATTGATAACCTACATCAACGAATATTCTAAATAACATTTTCAAGGGAAATAGCCATGAACTTATACTAAAATGTCCTTGTATCTAATAATTTTGTACTGCACCATGGACACAAACCAAATTGGCAAAATATTCTATGATATAGCCATCACTGTACATAACATTTTAACAAAGCAAAAGGATTAGTACATGTTTATGAATTTTTTTATGTCTGGTTGTCAATAATGTCATAAATACATGCAGAACAATTACATGAAAATGTAGAAAACTTACATGAATATACCTTATTTAAAATACATTCTAAACTAGTTGTGAAAGAGTAAAATTGTGATAACCCACCCTTCCTTATTTCACAGTCTTCCAGACAAAAACATTAAAATTAACCATTACTAGTCAAATTAGATGCAGTAATTACATTCCTCGAGTGACAAGAAAGATACCACAATACTTACACAAGGCCAGCAAAGGGTTACATAAAAACACCAAAAACCATGCAAGGTCAAAATATAATAAATGCAACTAAAGATAATAAAATAAACTCAAAAGAAAATGAAATACATTCCAAAATACCAACATCAAGTAAACTCAGAATAATACACTAAAAAGGCAATAAATCAAAATCATAACAAAAAATAAGAAAAACAAAATTAAACATAACCTAAACAAAT